AAGTTCCACTAAACCATGATGTAAACGTATTTTTAGAGGCTTGCCAAAAGATGTACCCAAAGGTGCCCATCAAGGTATTAGAGGAATATATTTCAGACACCTTGAAGTACTCTCCTCATCGGGAATCAAGGGTGAGTAACATTCCTGCATGTTTTCTTTTCATTTTCTGGTGTAATACTTTACAATGTGTAATGAACCTGTCCATTGTAATTCCATTATATTTGTAAGCTATATTTGAATCTTGTGTGATTTAATATGTATAGTAAGGCAAGGCAAGGCAAGTTTATTTATGTAGCACATTTCATACACAATGGTAATTCAAATTGCTTTACATAGAAGAAATTATAATAATCAAAAGAAATCAGGATAATTAAAACAAGTAGTACACAAAGTACAACCTAAATAACTTAAGGGTTAACCTTTATGAAGTAGCCACATTGTTATTATTATTAAATGTTTATGAAATGATAAATCACTATTAGTAACATTAGTCAATCTGTTCACTTTACAGAAGGAGCATGAAGATACTGAATCACAGACTGGACCTCAGTGCTAGTTTAGAACCAGAACAGCTGTTTCCTGTTCATTAAAATGTTAAAAAAAAAAATTTAAGCTCTAATGTAGCATTTAACAAAATGATAATAATTTTCAACTTTTTGATGTGCTGTAAAAGTGTGCAGTTATACACTGTAAAAAAATTCCTAATTTCACAGAAAATAACTGTGATTTTTGACGACCATTTTCTTTCATTTTAAATTGTACTCAAAACACTGCAAAATTACAAATAATATCTGGAAAATAAAAATGCAGCTGATATTTTAGGTATTGTTACATTAAAGAAAAAATTCCAGTCATTCACATTTTTTTTACAGTAATTAATTGTATTTTTCATACAGTATTTTTCTGTTTTCTTAAATTACATAAACATTTATGTAAAAGTACAAATAGAACCTGTAATTAAATGGTAACAAAACAGTTAAATGATTACATGACTGTAGCTCAAAAAACTGTAACATTAAAGTAAAACATCATAAATTAAATAAACTAAAAAAAAACTGTTATTTACAGGTATTTCCTGCATTATTATGATCAAATACCTTCATTGTAAAAAAAATCATAAAAAATGGTCAAATAACTAGCAACAAAGGCTGCCAAACAAAAACCATAAAATTAAAGTAAAATATTCAAATTTAAATAAACTGAAAAAAACACTGTTATTTAAAGGTATTTCCTGCATTATTACGATCAAATACCGTCATTGTAAAAAAATCGTTAAAAAAGGGTCAATTCACTGGCAGCACAGGGTGCCAAACAAAAACCATAAAATTACAGTAAAAATATGTTAATTTAAATAAAAACTTGACATCACCATGATTGAGATCAGTGTTTGCTTTAGTTGAGCTCTTGACCTTTTTTTTTTTACTCTGGCTGCTTTAATTATGTTTTCAACATACATTTGTTATAGCATTGAAAGCGGGAGAAAATATCAGCTGATGTTGGTCAGTTATTGGTGATGTTATAGTCATCATATGGTGACCTGATTCACTGATTTGACAGAGAAATCTGTTGTGAGTGTATCTGTTGTGATTACATTGTAAATAGGTGTACTTAAGTTTTAGATTAAATCTAGGATTGTCGTATTTTCCCCATGAACCTTGTTATATTGAAACAATATTAATTAAGTGATTAATTTAGTGATGATTGAGCATTATTGAAGACACCTGGTGATAACAAGCAGAATCACTGAAGGAGAAAATCACAAATTGTAAGCCACCGTTATGGCGATCAGTGTTTGCTTTAGTTGGGCTCTCGACACTTATACTTTCACTTTAAATTTTGTTTGTCTGCTGTTATTGATTTATAACAGTCAAATGAACAAAGAAAAGTGGGATCTGACAGAGTTGGTTATTTTTTTGACATAATCATACTGAGATCTATTGAGAACCTATTCAGATGATTCGGTTTAACTTGTTAGCAACAGTTTAGTGGTTCTGCAGCATATGATAATCTGTATTTTTCTTATAATCCAAAACATGCAATAAAAATTGTTCTGATCAAATCCCTTTATCTTTATTTAGAAACACAGACATCAATAATCAGCCTGTGTATCTCAACCGTGGTGACAATAATAATCCTTGTTGCCACCAATCACAACTCATTCATGGCTCCCATCATGCATTGCGGTATGAATAAATTATGATCTGAATTGTCTATGTAATTTACTTTTCCTACTTGAATGTTCTGCTCACCACCATTGTTGAGAAGCATTGACTGAATCTTGATATCTGTGTGTGCCTAAAAGACAGACTTTCTTTTTTTGTACAACTTTTAAGCTATCCATTATATTATATCTCAAATTCTGGGTATTTATACAGAATCACAGTTATAATGTAACCAACAACATAAGTCACAAACATTAAGTTCAAATAATGATTGTCATAATATAACAAAAATTATTAGATAATATTTTTTTCTTTGTTCATCTGGCAGGTATAACTCAGATGTAACAGCCAATTAAAATATAAAGTGTATAAAATAAGGGTCAAGAGCCCAACTAAAGCAAACACTCATCTCCATAACGGTGGCTTACAATTTTAGATTTTCTCCTTGTGATTCTGCTTTAGGTGTCTTCAATGATGCTCAATCATCACTCAGTTAATCACTTAATTATCTCATTAACTTTAACACTCTTGAGTGTGTACTCCTGTATCCCAGGAATGTTAAATTAACACTGACTGAGTTTTTGCTGTGATGAAGAGCCGTAGTTTGCTGACAAGCTGAGCCATAGTGCATTAAAAATCAGGTGACCAACTCAATTTAGAAATTATAAAAATGTAATTGTTTAACTCAAATTATAACAATGTAATTGTTTATTGAGAGTTTAAAATATTAATATATATAAAAAGACATTAAAAAGTAGATAAACCTTTCAGTGACACTATTGTAGAAGACACTACCAAGTACACAGCAAATTTGAAAGTGTTAAATTAACACGCACAGTGTGAAAATTAACACTTTTTCGGAGTTTATATAGGTCCACACTAAATCGAGTTAAACTTACACTTTAAATAGTGTTACTTTTTTTTACACTTGCTTAGTGTAAAAACAACACTGTTAGTGTTCCCCGTTAACACCATTAGTGCCCCTCATCCCTCATTTACACCAAGTTAGTGTTGAAACTACACTGGGTGTGTCAATATCTTAACACCAAGAGATTAGTTTTAACACTAATATTGTGTTCATAAAAAATCCCTGATTAAGGTACTAGTGTAAAAAAAAAAATTGGGGGAAAAAAAGTGTATTCAGTTAAAGTCAACACGATGTATCAGTTTGAAATTTTATTTTCAACAACAGCTGCAATTACACCAACACAGAGGATGATACAACATATTCGCCATCATCTGACCCATATAAACACTGCAGATCAAAAGGCCTGTAGAACTTCAAGCTGTTGGCTTTTACAAGTTCACTCAACTCACAGTATCTCTGTACTTTAAATGCATGAAAATGTTCAGAAAAATGTTCTGTGAAAAGTTTGTCAACAATAAAATACACAGTGCTGTCAATGAAAAGTATTTTCCGAATCTGACTGAAAACAGGAATTTCATCTTCGATTTCATTGCATACAATGAGGTCTTGTCTATATTCTGTCCCATCTATTTTGACCCAGTTCATGGAATGCATACTAGTTTGCATGGGATTCTGTAGCATTCCTGCCAACTTTTCACCATTCTCAACATCATTCCAACAAAATGATTTCATTGGTCCACACTCAACTTGACTAAATGGTGTTGTTTCCCAAAGATAACCTATTGACATTTGATGACTTTTTGCCAGTGATTTGGTGATATTTTTGAAATTCTTCAGTGTATTCTTAAAAACTTTATGCTTAGCCTCGAACCTCATGCTCCACATGTGCACTAGCGGTCCAATTTTGCGAATACAGGCTGGATAATGCACCATAAAATGGTGTTTGGGCAGCAACTTTTTTTGTGGGTACAACTCTTTAAATAATTCATGGTGCTCAATTGTTAAATACTTCAGGAGGACAGTCATGCCTTTAGAAATACAAGGGGAAAACACCAGGTTTAGAATTTGAAGCAAGAGCAGGAGCAAATGCCAATTTTGATCACCTAAGGGTACAATATCACCAAACAGCAAAGGAATGTTTTTGACAAGACAGAGTGCCTGGATAGAATTAAGCCCTATGGTATTTCCACTGTGCTCTAGATTGACTTTTGTTGGACGATTTTTTCTCTCCAAATATCCATAATCATATGAATATATTCTGGAGAGCAATTCACTCCGTGTAACAAATTTTTCTGAAAGATACTCAAACAGTAGTTTCATTTCAAATTGCACAACTCCTTCCAGGAGGTCATGCATCACATCTAGAGAGTAGTTGTGGCACACATGAAAATACTGCAGGCTATTGAGTGTTGAGCTTCTTTTAAGGCCATGTGTTGACTTAAGTTGAGGGTCAGATTCTAACTCACTGCAGTGTTGGTCATAAATCGAACGATCACGCAAAACAACCCTAAAATCATCTTCATTGTGAACTAACTGGATATCATCTTTTTCAGTTAAACACAGACGACAGGAGTAATGTCCACTAAATGATTCTGTGAACCCAAGTATTGAGTGCATCCCCAAGTTGTCTCCAATTACTTGACATATTGTGCCATAAACTCTACTCATTGATATGGGTAGTTCAATACCATCTGTCTCTAGAATCTTTATGTCACGAATCAATGGTTCCAAGATGGGGTCAAAACCATACTTTTTCACATCTTGCGCATGAAATAGAGCAATCAAATGGATATTCATCAGTCTCGAATTAAATTTGGGAGGTAAATTTCGAAGCACAAAATAAAGAGCACCAACCTTGTGTACCCCACGTTTAGAGCCAAGAGGGTTTGCGGTTTCAAAGTCATCGTAATACACCTGAATTTGTAAAGCATTGGGATGTTTGGAGAATAATGGATGACTTTGGAAGTAACTTCCATCCCAAAAGTCCTCAAAATGTGATTTCGGCATTCCTGTAAATTCTCTCAGCAGAGTACATACATCTGCATTTCGACACATAAATTTTAATGTTTCCAAAATTGGGACATACACGAATGTATCTTTTACTGGGACCTGATCATAACATCCAGTCTTTTTGTTTCTCCTCATGTCATACCTCATGCCAAGCACAATTTCAACCGGCTCCACAACACCCCATTTGTCAACAAAATAATTAGTTCTTTTAGTTTCAGTGTTAAACATGGAAAAGGGACTCTCAAAATGCTCTAAACTATCTTCGACAGCTGATCTGACTGGGTTTTCAAGAGGAATGACAGAAATCACATTTTGACGAGTTTGGCTATGCAGTTCAGTGGTGAGGTCCTCAAGGTCTGAAACAACTGATGATACCAAGCTATTGGCTACTCCACCGCACTGTAATTTGGCCACAATTGAGGCACATATATCTGCGGTTTCTCTCCTGGAAAAGGTAACATTGTCAATGAGAGCAACTTGGGGATCACTTTCTCCAACAAACAAAGAACCTGACTGATTATCATCAACATTTTGAGATGACAGTTCACCAGATGACAATTCAAAAGCGGGACAGCCATCAACAGCATGAAAACGGTTCAAATGCTTTCGAAACCCAGAATATGAGCAAAACTGCCGACTACAGCCACTCTGCGCACACAACAACTTAAACTTTAACGAAGGATAAAAACTGTGTGTGACTCTTAAATGAGCTATCAAAGAGTGGCTGTTTGCATGCACACTTTTACAGAGGAAACACTGTAACATTTAAACTAATTTTAAAGCTTTGCGTGCAGTTCCCTTACTCTTGGAGACTCACTTGAAAGACCAACATCGATGTTGTAAACTGTGGTCTGCAGGAAGGTAAAGAAGTTGACCAGGGACTCCTCGTAGGATAAGTTGAAGACATAGTGAACTTTGAAAAGTTCATCAAAGGCACTTAAGGAGCTGGTTCCAGAGCAAGGGATAAGGCGTTTGTCTACAGCGACGTAAAAGTGGTCGATCCTGCCCTTGATCCTTCCTGATCCCAGTAGAAATGGCTGGTGGCCCTCCCTCCCACTGAGAAGGCCTTCAATACTGGTGCAGGACTGAGGAGGAAAAAAAAAAAAAGATTAGAGGAAAAAAAAAATTACATATGAAATAATGCATTAAACTTGGTACTGGTAACTTGCTCACATAAAATTGAACAAAGAGAAAAACAAACAAACAAAAAAAAAAGCCACCTGACACACCTTAACCCAATTTGTGCCTGACAAAACCAGTTGTTATCATGCTTTGTACATTACAACCCTCAGCCACCAAACCAAGCTATGTGACTGACTTACTTCATTAGAACAAAGAGTTGTACATGGAAATCGGAGATCTGTAGGTCAATAGAATGCAACTGAATGCATGCAATTAGTTAGAGACTCTAAAAGGGACAATTAAACAAGTCAAATTATGCCAGTGATTTTCAATCCCAGTCCTGTGGGTCATTGGCTCTATGCATTGGATGTCTCCCTCATTCAACAAACCCGTTCCAGCTCTTCATCTCATTAGGTACGAGCTCCACGAACTAAACTGAAGGGTTAATTTCTCCCAAAACTTAAAATGTATTACACATGCTAGGGTTTTTCTTTATAACTCAATATTATTTGTTTGTATTGCTGAACCAAAGAATTATATTTTGAAGAATTTGTAAACAGGCTGCTTTGGCCACAAACTTTCTTTAAAATATCTTCCTTTGTGCTCAGCAGTACAAAGCAGGTTTGGAACAAAATGAGGGTGACATTTTTGGATGAACTATCTTTATGCTCATCAGGTCAGAGAGACAAAATGTGCAGAGGGTTCAGTCCCAAGGACCGCGAATGAAAACCACTGCATTTTAGGGTTTATAAGTTATAACCCCAATTTTAATTGAAATGATCACAATGACTTTAAAATGGTATTGTAAGTGTTACCTTATGGAAACGCACAAGTCTGTCAACAGCCTCTGTTGGACTGATCTTAGTCTTCTTCCTCCCTGGAGGAGGCGGCAGGAGATGCAACAGCAGCAGGACAGATGACATGTCAGGGTCCCAATCTGAATGAGTAGATGTTTTGGGATTGGTGGGCGATTTAAGATAAAACAAAAACAAACGATTTAGTGCTCACAACAAGAAACCAGACCAAATATGAAATTATGACATCCTCACAAATCATGCCAACCATTTTCAGATCCTTGTCCACCTGCTGCATTGAGAAGACTCCGCATTTCTGCTGTTGAAGTAAGAGTCTTGGCTTCGTTGATGATCTTTTGCTTGAATGCCGTCTCCCACCTCTTAAGAAGCATGTTGGATGTTTCAGCATTGAACAGCAGAGCAAAGTCCTGGTTTATCTAATGACAAAGCATATTACAAGGTGGCTAAGAGGTTACTTGGCACTTTTTCATCATTTACCACCAAAATGGATAGTGTGCACATGTTTTGATAGACTAAGAAATCATGAATGTATATTTACTTGAATTCTTACAAAATCTATCACTATGTTTGAAAGGCATGTACGAGCAGTGTGATAAATCTATGAACAAATTAGTCAAATTAGCAATTATGTTAGTGTGATCTCATTTGATACAAATAAAATAAACCATATCTAAAACACACTTAAAACAATCTTTGAAAAGTACAATACATTTTATTTACCAATCCTTTTACATCCAAAAATCTTGGGAAAACATCAAGGACGTCAGCTGATCTTTCAGGATTATGTACCAGTTCTTGTCTATGCTTAAACGTTTCCTTCATCTTCTGCATAACTTCAGCTTCATCAGCTGTGTGGACAAGGAAAGAAATTGCCTCTCTGCATGCATCTCCTTCAAGTTGTTGCACATCATCTATCCTCCTTCGTCGACTTGGTCCCGCACTTTCAGTCATCTCCAAGCGAACACGTTTTGGGTTCTTCCTCGACAAAGTTTTAAGGCGCCAGGAGATGAACCCCGTTCCCTTTTCCGGATCATAGAAATGCTCCTGTCAAAAAGAAAAGAATTTAAAAAAAAATAAAAATATGAAGAATCATCATGACACAGATAGACATTAAGAGAAACTGTCATTACATGAAACAAAAAAGGAGCATTTAACTTCATGTCAAACTAGATCGTATTTCAGTTATATCAATACAAATGATTCTTACATAGCCCTTTGCTGAAAATGGGTCTTTCAGGCTAGGAAAGAGAGAAATAATGCCCAAAGCATAAGTTTCCCGCTGTTTGCGGGTGGGAATCCTCCTGCAATGTAAAAAAAAAAATACACAAGGTTAAATGGTTAACTTCTACATCAATTGACAGCTGTGTGTATTTCACATCTGGGTGCATTGAAATCTTTACCCATGAATCTCTGTCATGTGACTGACAACAATATTAACAAGCTGACGTCTGGTGCTGTGCTTTAAAGTCTTAGTTGTCTGGTATTCTTCAAGCACTTCCTCACCACCTGATTTTTTTTCCAGTGCATCTCGGACAGTCTGATTAAACATGACCACATACAGGTGAACACGAAGACTAATAAAATGGTGAAAGTATTATAAGGACAAGTTAACCACAAGAAAAAACCTGTATACATACCCGTTTTGCCTTTTCAGCGTCTATGCTAAAACTGTTGCTGACCATTGCTGCTTGATTTTGCACTGCTCTCTCTGTCTCTTCATGGTCAGTTGATGAGAGTGATAGAGTATCAGTGCATGTGCTGGGGGTTGAGGATCTTGTGGGTGAAAACTCTTGACAGGGAAAAGAAAAACAATTTTAATGTTTTCTCTAAAGACATTAAAAAAGGCTTTATCAAAATGTTATTCACTTCTGAAGCAAGAATTTAATCAAATTAAAGGGTTAGTTTAGAAGAAATTAAAATTGTCATTACTCACCCTCAATACTACCAACCCAAAAGACCTCCATTCATATTCAGAGACAGATTAAGATATGTTTGATAAAATCAGAGCTTTAACCATCCATAGTAACAGCATTGCAACTTTCAAAGCCCAGTGCTGTGCTGCCCTGTGCTACATGGATAGTGTAGTAGAAAGACATGCAAGAGAAGAGATTATTGAATAAAGTCGTTGTTTTTGCCCACTATTCTCGTTGCCTCATAACATTAAAGTTGAACTGCTGGAGTCACATGGACTATAGTATTTACTTCCTTTCTGAGCCTTGAAAGTGGTAATTACGTTGCCGCTGAATGGTTCAGAAAGCTCTCGGATTTCATTGAAAAGGTCTTTATTTTTGTTCTGAAGATGAACGAAGGTCTCACAGGTTTGGAACGACATGAGGGCGAGAAATCACATTTTCATTTTTGGGTGAACCAACCCATTAAAATAAAATTATGGATATTTTGCCACTGGGATTACTCTGGAGTCCTAAAAAGTATGTCTCAAGTGTTATTAAAGACTTACCATCAGACAAACCAACAGTAATATCTTCTTCTGGACATCTTACAGTTAGGCATAAATGTGGACTGCCTTCGATCAATTCATGGAAGATGTCCTCTTCCACATTGGTGTCAGTGTCATCAAAGACTTGAAGAGCTGCTGTTCTTGCCAAACCAAATTTGCTTTTAACTGAAAAGTCATTTTAACAATAACAATTAAATATATATAATGTTTCATTAGTTAACAGACTAAGAATGAACAAAACGTCTATGGCATTTGTTAATCAATAGTTCTCTCTTTTAACATGAATGCACTATGAACTAAATTTAACAAAACAAGCAGTTCTACTTTTATTAACTAATCCTGAAGGTAGTTAGCACATTAATGTTAACAAATGAGACCTTTACTGTAATGTTTTGACTTAGTGGGATTATACAATATTACTATATGACTTAAGTTCATTTAAAAAATAGCACAAGATTCTTCACTTACCATCATTGAGAAAATCTTGGAACGTACGATCGCTGGGAAATTTCACAAATTTCTTTACACCTTGATACTGAACTTTAACCAGCATGATGAAAGCTGTTTGGCCAAGAAAAATGCAGATTATTAATATTAAAGAAGTTCCTACGAGCTGCTGTTGTAAAAGCTACGTTTGTCACATCACATGTGAAATTGCAGCAAATTAATTCGTAATGTCATATCTAATATCATAACACGATTGCAGATGATGCATGCTCGTCATTGTCGTCAATCACGCGTCTCATATAATGAGAAAACCGTTCATATGCACTGGCAGAAAGTTAAGCAAAATGCTTAAGAGGTCGTTTATCTGATAATGAATGTCCGTTTTACCTTGTAGATAAGAGTAAACGTTATAACGTATACTTAAAAATACCAGACCACCGAAGCGGCGCGTTCAAAGTTCACGTTAAAAAAAATACATTCGCGCGCGCTACTACTAAACACTTAAACAGTCGGAGATTATTGGTGGAACAAGTGCACAGTTATACTAAAATATTGGAGATAAAAATGCATTACAAATTTACAATGCCTTATGCCAAAACGAATAACGTGAACACCAAGAAGGGGGAATGCCGATGCTTTGCGGTAGACGTAATTAAACAAATCACAGAAATTACACTGTCATCTATCCCAGATTCTAAAATATATGAAACTATAAGGTTAAAACTGCTAATTAACATATAAACTTTGCAACTCTTACCTCAATTTGCCAGCAAACAAACGAAAGGTCCTCGAGGTGCGATCGGTGGTCTGTCGTGCTATCTGAAAGGAAATTAGTTTAGCGCTCAGGCAATGCTGAGAAATGTACTAATATTATTCTAAATGGTGATAAATGTAAACTAAACATGAAAATTGGTTAGAAAAATCAAGTGGTTAAAACATTATACCTGATTGAACACTCCTCTCCTCGTGGTCGTCCGCCATTAATCAAAAAGGAAATAATGTGCCAGAACCGGAAATTGGATCAACTCATCGCAGTGTCAATTACGTCAACTCGCTGCAATTACGCTGACTCTGACCACAGATTTACTCTGCAAGTGTTGGTGCCATTCAAATTAACACCAGTATCAACACTTTTTAACTCTGATAATTTAACACCATAAAAACAACTCTAAACTACACTGAAAATTTTGCTGTGTACTTAACAAAAATATGTCTGATATCATAAAATGTTTAGTATATAGTTTGAAAAGAAGAATAAGAATAGAGTGTGATAGCCTAACTTGTTCTTATATATTTTGTTTTTTTGACAGCCACATGCCCCACTGTTGAGTGCTCCTTGTCATCCAGTGTGGAGGTTCCACTTACTGCAACCTCAACAAAACTAAATCCTCAAGAGGAATTTGGTAATTCACAGTGATGAATTTATGAATGTACAGTATAAAAAATTTTTTTCATTCTGATACTGATCAGTTGACTTTTAATTGTTCCTTATCTATAGTGAATGATCCCTTACCGCTTTATTTTTGGATTTTCTTTACAGAAAAAAATATGGAGAGGCTCTCTGATATTTTGCCGTCATGTCCCTCTGCTGCTCAGCCTCAAAGTAGCTCTGCGTCATCATGGTCTTTTCGGCAGCAGAAAGCCTCAGAGCGCTGGAAAGAAGCAAGACCATACCACCTAAAGTGCCTTATGCCAAAAGAGGCTGTTGGTCATCCCCTGCGTTGGCTTTGCAACGAGCCTGCTGTGATTAGGTTGGTTTTCATTAGTACAAAACGAATCGGTTACCTAACGTAACCTCGGTTCTCTCTAGATGAGGGAACGAGTATTGCGTAAGCTAGCTTACGCTACGGGAAAGATTCATCTTTGCTGAGAAGTTGAAGCCAAAAAATTATTCCATAATTTTGTAATCATTGTCAACGCAGTCTCCTCTGAGGCAGACCATGAGCGGGCTAGCTAGCGGCTCATTGGTTCGCTCAGAGAGAATGCACGAACCTATGGGAGAGCGGCGCTGAGTCCGCGGCCAATGAGCGGACGGCGCTCGCTCACTGCGTCACAGCCCGCCAAAAGGGGCGTGGCTACAGTGTATAAAGGTCGCTCTCCCAGCTCGTTCGTTGATTCTGTAGCATGAAGCGAAACGCTAGTGGCGCAAGCACGGCCGGGAACGCAATACTCGTTCCCTCATCTAGAGAGAACCGAGGTTACGTTAGGTAACCGATTCGTTCTCTTACGAGAGGTTCTCTCGTATTGCGTAAGCTAGCTTACGCTACGGGAACACCTGGTCAACGCCGTGCGCGCTAAGTAACCACTAAGCATCCCAGGGGAAACACCGGGGGAATCTAAAGTGGATGAAGATAATACGGCGGCCAGCATAGCGGCCGTTATCATCTAGTGCAAAACGCCCAAGGCGGCCGGCGAAGGCGGGCCGTGATGTGTAGGCTAATGCATAAGCACATAGGGGAACACAAGGGGTGAGCCGGTTGTGATGGAACTCCCGATAGTGCGGCTTCTATAGGAGGGCTGTGAGTACTAGAACGCCAGAATTTTAGCCTGTAAGGCTGGAACTTCCAAGTTATAAAACCTGACAAAAGTGGAGGGGGAGGCCCATCCCGCAGCCACACAATGTCATGGATGGAAATCCCGCAGGACCATGCCCACGACGAGGCCATGCCTCTGGTGGAATGAGCCCTGATGCCCAGAGGGCGAGGCAGGTCTTTAGCGGCGTAAGCAGAGGCAATCGCGTCTACTATCCACCTGGATAGGGTCTGTTTCGAGGCGGCTAGTCCCTTGGTGCGGCCACCGAACGACACAACAGCTGCTCCGAGCGTCTGAACGCGGCAACGCGTGTAGTGTGCACTCTGATAGCCCGAACCGGGCAGAGGCGGTCAGCGTCTCGTTCGCTATCGGATGCAGGCAGCGCCGATAGAGAGATCACTTGCGCCCTGAAAGGGGTACCAATCGCTTTTGGAACATAACCGTGTCTAGGCTTTAGAATGACTATGGAGTCACTCGGTCCAAACTCTAGGCACGCGGCGCTCGAAGACAGCGCGTGAATGTCCCCCACACGTTTTACTGAAGCGAGAGCCGTCAGAAGAACGGTTTTTAACGAGAGGTATTTTAGTTCCACGGACTCAAGTGGTTCAAACGGTGGGGCTTTCAGAGCTTCTAGAACTATAGAAAGATCCCAGACCGGCACCGTAGGGGGCGAGGGGGGTTCATCCTTCTGGCTCCCCTGAGGAAGCGGATGATTAGCTCGTCTTTGCCCAGAGACTGGGCGCGCCGGGGTTCAACGAACGCCGCGACGGCTGCCACGTAAACCTTAAGAGTGGATGGGGACCTGCCTTTATCCAGCATCTCCTGAAGGAACACTAGCAAAGACGAAACCTCGCACGTCCGTGGGTCCAAATTCTTGTCGGTGCACCATTTGGAGAACACAGACCATTTTGCAGCATAGAGCTTTCTGGTAGAATCCGCTCTGGCGTGTTTGATCGTGTTCAAAACCCCTTCTGGCAATTCGACGCGTAGTCGTTGGTCACCCATGCATGAAGCGCCCAGCGCTGTGGATGGGGATGCCAGATCGAGCCGCGGGCTTGAGTGAGGAGATCTGCTCTGATTGGAATGGGCCACGGGGCTGTCTGTGACAGCCGCGTTAGCTCCGGGAACCAATCTGATTCTCCCAGCGCGGGGCTATGAGGAGCACCGAGTGGCGTGAGTCCCTGATTCTCTGAATGACCTGCGGTAGCAGAGAAATCGGGGGAAAAGCATAGAGCGGGCGGCGGGGCCAATCCTGGGCTAGCGCGTCCTCGCTCTTTGAAAAGAATATTGGGCAGTGAGCGTTCTCTTCTGAAGCGAAAAGATCTATCTCCGCTCTGCCGAATAGGCGCCACAGTGTTTGGACTGTTTGAGTGTGCAGGGACCATTCTCCGGGGGAGACCAGGTTCCTGGACAGGCTGTCTGGACCGTCGCTCAGATGGCCCGGCACGTGCGTCGCTCTGAGCGAGAGCAGGTGACTCTGGGACCACAATAGGATGCGGCGTGTCAGATGAAAGAGATTCTTGGATCTGACGCCGCCCTGACGGTTGATGTATGATACCACGGCCATATTGTCGGAGCGAATCAGGACGTGGTGACCGTTTATGCGCGGGAGGAAGCATAGCAGCGCGTTCTCGACCGCGATCATATACAGACAGTTTATGTGTAGGGAACTCTCGTGGCTCGACCACTGGCCGGCGGCCGGTGAGCCCTCGCAAACCGCTCCCCAACCCGAGTTGGATGCGTCTGTCGAGATAACTTTCCGGCGAGAGAAGGTTCCCATGGTAACGCCCCTCTGAAACCACTCGCTTACTGCCCATGGCTGCAGTGCAGTGATACGTGTCTGAGTAATCCTGATCATCTGGCGGCCCGTCGTCCACTCGTGGTGGGATACGCGGCTCTATAACCAGAGTTGAAGGGGGCGCATGTGCAGAAGACCCAGCTGTAGCACAGCGGAGGCTGAAGCCATATGACCCAGCATCCTCTGAAGCGATTTCAGGGATGTATGGGTACCCATCTGAACGAGGCGGCTAGGCGCTGAACACGGCGCGCGCGCTGTGTGGATAAGCGAGCCGTCATAGTGATAGAGTTCAAATCTATTCCAAGGAACGAAATAGTTTGACTGGGCTGGAGAGAGCTCTTTGTCCAGTTGACAGAGAGTCCCAGCGCTTCCAGATGGTTGAGGAGAACTGTGCGGTGCGACAGCAGCTCCGTCTGGGAATCTGCTAGCATCAGCCAGTCGTCCAGATAATTCAGTATGCGCAGCCCCTGACTTCGCAGGGGGGCGAGCGCTGTATCCATGCACTTCGTGAACGTACGGGGTGCTAAGGATAGCCGAACGGGAGAACGGCATACTGGTAAACTTGGCCCTCGAAGGCGAAACGTAGGAATGGCCTGTGATGAGGGTTTATCTGGATCTGAAAATAGGTGTCTTTCAGGTCTAGAGAGATGAACCAGTCCCCCTGGCGGACGTGCGCGAGGAGTTTCCTGACTGTGAGCATTTTGAACGGTCTCTTCATGAGCGCTTTGTTCAAAGCCCTGAGATCTAAGATCGGCCTGAGGCCGCCGTCTTTCTTGGGAACCAGAAAATAACGGCCGTAAAACCCCGACTCGGTCATAGATGGTGGGACTCTCTCTATAGCGCCCTTCTGCAGTAGCTTGGCTATTTCTAAGCGAAGCGTGTTCATAGCGGGCGGCTGACAGTGGATTCGAGCCGCACGCGCGAGCGTGGCGGGCGGCGACGAAACTGTAATCGATAACCATTCTTTTATTATGCTTAAACCCACGGGGAGATGCCAGGGATGGCTTCCCACGCTTCGTAAGCGGTTGAATGGCGATTTTGCCCTGATAGCTGCACATCGCGGGCTGGACACTGTGTGTGGGCACGCTCATAATGTGGGTGGCAACGGGACTTACACTCAGAGAGGAGTTTTATGGGCCGTGTGACAGAGCGGGCAGAGGGGGGACACGCGCACGGGCTCGTGGGCGTGCTTATGTTCTCTGCTGCTGGAGCGGAAAGTGCACGCTCCGTGAGAATGGGCTCTGTGAGAGACCCTGGGCATAAGGTGCTTGAGTGTGTATGTGAGCACATGCTTGTGGGCACATTTATTACACTTGAGGCTTTTATGCTCTTTTGTGAACTCTCTGGATAGCCGTGAAAACGGCTTTTAGACGCTCGCAAGCGGGCAGGGAAACCGGCTTGTTTGTGGCGGTAAACACTACTGCAGTCAGCGGTGAGACGGGGACTAACAGTGGGCGAGGCTTTTACGGCGATCCGGCCGCAG